TACCTTTTTTTCTAGAACCTTTCTTTATCGACAAAATATTTACATTTAACTCGAGATCATCGTCAAACTTATTATTATCTTCACTTTGTTCTAAATTTCCAGATTAATTGTGCGATTCTGTTCAAGTGGATAATGTACAAATTCGAAACCTATGAATTCATTAAAAATTCAAAACAAATTCTAACCGATTGAATATAATTTTACCCTCAAACTTTCTTATAATAACTTTATTTTGTCGATATTATTGAAGAAAATTTTCTGACCCTTACTTTATCTTTACACCAGAAAAGTTACCATTTAATATCATGATTATCTTAATCATCTCTTCAATAACACTTTCATCAAATTATGATTAAGATGATGAAAGCATTGAATTTATCATTTCTCTAAAGATGGAGTATACGAAGTTAAATATTTCGTATTTAAACAAATAAAAAAAGATGTGTACAAGTTAATAGTTTACCTGAAAATGCAACTCGAAAGCATTTTGCACTAGAATCGCAGTGGACATTTATAATGGATGGTGTCAATATAATACGCTCAATATTCTGTCGATTAAAGAATTATGAAGCTTAGAATGGATTGTGACAATTGTAAATACAATACCTAATGAGTAAAAGGAATAGCCCGGTGTATATTATCGTACCTCTTAATCCTGGGGAGACTATTGCAGCCAACGAATATTTCTCCAACGAACTAGACAGAATATGTTACAAGAATTAGGAAGATCGCAATAAAGATTAACATTTTTTGCTATTCTCACATCAGTTGATCTTATCACATCATTTTCTTGAATTCAATAATGCCTTCGCTCTCTTAAGAATAATTTCAATGATTTATGCCTGGATTCCACCTAAACCCTCGTCATTATATACATACTGTTAACTGAGACATTAGTCCAACGAGTCTGAGTACACTTAAAATCCCTAGTCCCATCCGGGGTATCGGATATTAAAATTCGACCTAAAACAAATAATTCCTATAAGATATAGATGATGCTAATGTATTGCTCTGAATTACTGGAAGACAAACCGTATACCTTTTATGCATCCTTCGCCTCCATCCGAAACTTTGAATAATACTATGCGACAATAATCTATCGCGACGCGATCTTTGAATGGCCGGTGGCTTAGAAGTTTGTTTAACAATACACGTTACACGATTTTTTTTTTTTTTAATGTTTACCAAACTCGCGTATTAATAATGTTGAGCGTCAGATGACGATTTGCGTCAACTGACAGATGACTAATGCTGGCCAAATCTTCTTAAGACATTACAAAATCGGCCCAAAATAGACCATAATTTAGGCCAGTCGGCATGTGTCTACCATTGAAGTAATTTAATACTCGGTGAGAATTTTTTTGTTTTTAACCAAATAAATAAATTATTTTATTTTCTCAATTAGGTCAATACACCTGAATCATTTTATGATGAACGAGAGTACTTCCTTTACCTTAGAAATTTCAAATCGATCGTGAATGAGCTTTAAAATTATTCTTTATTCAATTACCCTAGATTTTCAATTATCGGGAGGGGGTGGAGAAGAATGTTAAGGTTTATTTCACATTGTTACATACCTAGTAGAGAAAATCATAGGAACGGGAGCTTGAAATTTGATAAATTCCGTGAAATGCGATAAAACATTTGACTTTATTTGAACTTGGGCAAAAATAAATGTTTTAGACAGGCATCTTTATTTAATAATAAAATAATAATACACCAGTATATGATACAAACAAGTAATATACTAAATCCTAAAATACGATAAACGATACGAAGAAAAAATAACTATTTTTAGCGACCTATACTATTATTGCTGTTGCTATTCGCATAAGACCAGCGTTAACATTTGTTGATTGTAAGACGAAAATCATCATTTGAAGATGTATTACCCTTTTGTTCTTCAAATGATGTTCTCCAATTTCATATTTTTTTCGTCTATGTTATAAAAATAAAAAGAAACCATGATCGATACTTCAAGATAGTCTGATGATGACATCACAATCGATTGCCATCATCAAGAAAAAGTTGAGTATCATCCTTTTTTGATGGAAGGGCAATTAAATATAGTTTATTGGATGACGTTCAGTCATCAGTTGTAAAGCCTTTAAATCAGAAAAACAAGGTAACTTTTGAAAAATGTCCTCAGATAATTTCGGAAAGTTTTCGACGGACATTTTCGTAAAAGATTGTAAGAAGAAATCTTTTAGGCATTCCTTCTGTTCGTCAACCGATTTATATACATTAAAGGCTTTTTTTGAAGTATTATTTTTAAAATTTTGTTTTTTAATACCGTCAACTTGGGTATTTATAAGTGTTATATAAGTTTTTGTTTGTTTTGAAAGAAGCATATTAGTTTGCAGTTTTGGTAGGTAATTATGAATTTGAAAGCAACAATAGTTTTTAAACATTTTTTTTTTTTTTTTTTTTTTGGAACTTTCTAAGATATGAATTATTTTTTAAGTGTATCGTTAAACAAACTTCTAAGCCACCGGCCATTCAATAAGTTCCTTTTTTGGGGGATAACAATTTTTGTAATAGATCATAGATTATCGAACAGAAATATATGAAAAAATCATATGAAGGAACGCAATTTATTATTCAAAGTTTCGGGGGCGAATTATGATCGAAAGAAGCATAGAATGTAAACGGAATTTCTTCCATGTAAGTACCCATTTTTCCACAATGATTAATCCATTGGTATCTCTATATATATTACGAATTTTTAGTTATTGAAAATTATTCTTAGGTAATCTTTCATCAAAATTAGAAGTTGCCATGAGCGGAGGCATTATTGAAATTCAAGAATTACGAATAAAGTGATGTGTATGTCCAAAACCATAATGTGAAAATTACAATGTTATCTTTCCATCTAACAGAAGCTGTCGTCAGTACAATAGTCTCCTAAATAAATAACCACGATGAAAAGGTAATCAGATTATTCCGTCTATTTATCTAGGCATTTTATAAACGTTAAATTACAATTTTCACAAAGCTTTTTGACTGAACTTCATAATTCTTTAGACGACAGAACATTATATTTGACATCGTCCGTACCACTGCGATTACTAGCAATGCGTAAGTTAATGACGATTTATTAATTTCGTAACTTTAGAAGCATGGGTCAGAGCGCGCTTGTGAAAATAGGTAAGTGACAAATCGAGCATTGAGATTTTGCGAGTATTGTAATTCGGACTTTATTAAATTTCTTTCACGTTATGTACGGGATTAAACATGAAGCACCAAAGCAGGACTCGAACAGAAATAATTTCTAGTAGGAGTAGTGTTATTATATTATTTTTGAAATGTTTATTAATTTTATAGATTAATTGGAAAATTTATAATCCAAAACTTCTTAAATAGCAAAGGAAATTTTTCTTCACGTGTATTTTTTTTTTTTTTTTTTTTTGAAAAAGTTATGGATCTTGCAGAATATCTAGACAATAAAAAATTTTCAATTGCGCGCTTGTTGCGAATAATGATTTTGAGATAATTTTAATGCATGTTTTTTATATATATTAAAGTTTGAAACAAAAGGTTTATTGACATTACATAAATATAGTAAGTATATAAATAATGAGCATTGTGTAGCTCGTATCCAAAGGTGCTTGGTTACAAAAGATCTCTTTTGACCCGTTTTAGTTGTGGTGTAAAAATATCTTTTGTGTTTACAAAATTGCAAAGGTGAGACGAGTTTAGAAGATTGTCCCTTTTTCCAAGGCTTCAAGAGTCCATTCTCTTTAAAAAAGAAAGAAGAATCGCAACAGTGGGGAAAGATTGAGGTATATGAAATCGAATTAAAAAAAGAAGCTCGCAGTTTAGTGCTAAATGGTGATGTGGAAGATGGAGGGCTTGTCGAGTTGGCACAGATATGGGAGGTGAAAAATGGTATCAATATGAAAAGGAGATGGTAAAAAGCCTGATAAGTTTGAAATAAAGGATATTAAACCCGAAGAACTAGAAGGAAAAAAAACGCGACCGCCAACAGATAAAAAAGACCGCCAGTCAACTGAGAAGAGGAAGAAAAAATCTCCTGAAAAATCCAGCGGTAAAAAGAATGTGGTAAAGATTCGACCAAAGTTGAAGGAAATACTAGTATAGGTCAGCTGGGTAGTGAAAAGGACGCTTATATTTTTGTGCCGGTAATAGTGTTTGTTAATAACGTTACTTTTGTGTTTCTATAAATCTATTCTAAATTTTCGTCATTAATTTTTCTTTATCATTCACATCTGATATTTCGTCAAGTGTCTATAATGATACAAAGATGAATTATAGGATAATAATAATAATAATAATTATTATTATTTAAAGTAAGCATATATACCTCATCGTTGAGCTGCTTCTCCCAATGAGTACAAATATCATCCTCAGAATCATTTACATTTTCATCACAAATGAATAGCATGAAGATGAGGATATGAGAATGATAAAATGTTTGTGAAGGACAGGTGACGTAGTGTATTGCTTTACAGGATACATAAATAGTTTTGGATTCCTGGTACCTTCGTGCTTATCAATATCAAAAAAATCCAACTCTGACAGATCATCTTTGAGTTAACAACAATTACGCGATCGCTTTGTGGTTGTTTGCCATTCTACAAAATGTTTGCACCTCTGATCGATTTATTATTTGAAATAAATGTTATCAATTTATCAAAAAAAAAAAAAATTATTTCGAAATGAAATACCTTTGTACCAAATTTCAAATGCATACGATTATTACGAAGATGAAGCATTAAACATGCTATCCTTAAAATTAAGGATAATACACCATGGACAACGAAACCCTCTTACTAATTCACATTCAACAACATGATATATAAAAAGTCACGGGTGGATCATCATTTTAAATAATATTAGGCACGCGCTTTGACATAATAGATTTTTAAAGGAAGGTGTACTCAATTAAATGAAACCTCAATTTCCAATTTGACTCTATTATTAAACCTTTTTCACATGCAAAGTTAAGACCAAGTTCGTATTGATCATCATTACAAAACTTTCCATCATCTATAGCACACATTTGAGTACACAGAGTTCAACGACCATCGGAACAATCAACAAGATTTGGTATTAAGGAAATATTTTTTCTTTTCGCCATTAATTGGTTTCTTTAAGGATTCCGAATTAACAGTGGCCATGATTGACTAAATGGAAACCTATAACTATGTCCGGAGAATTGTCACCATCAAAATTAGTTGCGTAAGGTTCCATAGCCAAAGTTTCTTTCGCAGAAGAATCCATCAATAAGGGATAGTTGATCGATGAAGGAATTGAAAATCATTGTTTCAATTTACGTTTTTTCTAACATTTCTAAAAAATAAATTTTTTTTAAAAAATGCCTTCTAAGTTTGAACCCAAGGTTTACCAAAAGTAAAACTAATACTCAACCCGAGAAAAGAAAAAAAGCTGAAAGTCCTAAAATAAGAAAAAGGAAACGTTAGTAACGTTTCTAGAATTTTTTTTTTTTTTTTTAAAAAAAAAAAGCAAAGATTTCCGAGATTGATTTCCCGATCATTTTTAATTTAACGAGCTTTGTGCAACCATAACGTGGTGGCAGACGAATGAGATTCGATCGAAAATCGAATTTATCGAACGAATCTCATTCATAAAATTCCGGATGATCGGCGAAATCTCCTGTATATTTGATGAGATGAACCTTATGTTTAAGTAATATCGTTCAAACGAAATAAACTTTCGTATTTTTATTAATTTTATTTACTTATTTAAATCACGTGATTTTTTAATAGACCTGAGTCATTCAATGGTCTATTGACGTCAAATCATGTTAAAAATGAACAAAAGGATAGTTCCAATTTGAATAAATTTCCATCGGATGTAAATATTATCACAAATTTGCGCGAAAATTAAGTTCTCGGTAAATTTCAATCGATGTATAATAGTTTCATGAGTATGGATGGCGTGTATTTATGGTTGAGGATTAGTAGATTTTACATATAATTAATTTAATTATGGTTT